ATTTAAAAAGTGAAACTTGTATATTATATTCATACATTACATACAAACTCATATATTTCAGATGTTTATTTTGTTTAATTTTGATGATTACAAATGACAACAAATGAAAATCTCAAATTCATCATATCAGAAAATTAGAATATTACTGAAGACCAATAAAAACAAAGGATTTATAGAAATGTTGGCCAACTGAAAAGTATGAACATGAAAAGTATGAGCATGTACAGCACTCAGTATTTAGTTGGGCCTCCTTTGGCCTGTATTACTGCAGCAATGCGGCGTGGCATGGAGTCGATCAGTCTGTGGCACTGCTCAGGTGTTATGATAGCCCAGGTTGCTCTAATAGTGGCTTTTAGCTCTTCTGAATTGTTGGGTCTGGTGTATTGCATCTTCTTCTTCACAATACCCCATAGATTTTCTATGGGGTTAAGGTCAGGAGAGTTTGCTGGCCAATTAAGAACAGGGATACCATGGTCCTTCAACCAGGTACTGGTAGCTTTGGCACTGTGTGCAGGTGCCAAGTCCTGTTGGAAAATGAAATCTGCATCTCCAAAAAGTTGGTCAGCTGCAGGAAGCATGAAGTGCTCTAAAACTTCCTGGTATGTGGCTGCGTTGACCCTGGACCTCAGAAAACACAATGGACCAACACCAGCAGATGACATGGCACCCCAAACCATCACTGACTGTGGAAACTTTACACTGGACTTCAAGCAACGTGGATGAAGTGCCTCTCTTCTTTTCCTCCAGACTCTGGGACCTTGATTTCCAAAGGAAATGCAAAATTTACTTTCATCAGAGAACATGACTTTGGACCACTCACCAGCAGTCCAGTCCTGTTTCTCTTTAGCCCAGGCAAGACGCTTCTGACGCTGTCTGTGGTTCAAGAGTGGCTTGACACAAGGAATGCGACAGCAGAAACCCATGTCTTTCATACGTCTGTGTGTGGTGGTTCTTGAAGCACTCACTCCAGCTGCAGTCCACTCTTTGTGAATCTCCCCCACATTTTTGAATGGGTTTTGTTTCACAATCCTCTCCAGGGTGCGGTTATCTCTCTTGCTTGTACACTTTTTTCGACCACATCTTTTCCTTCCCTTCGCCTCTCTATTAATGTGCTTGGACACTGAGCTCTGTGAACAGCCAGCCTCTTTAGCGATGACCTTTTGTGTCTTGCCCTCCTTGTGCAAGGTGTCGATGGTCGTCTTTTGGACAACTGTCAAGTCAGCAGTCTTCCCCATGATTGTGTAGCCTATAGAACTAGACTGAAAGACCATTCAAAGGCTTTTGCAGGTGGTTTGAGTTAATTAGCTGATTAGAGTGTGGCACCAGGGGCCATCAATTTTGAACCTTTTCACAATATTCTAATTTTCTGATATGATGAATTTGAGATTTTCATTTGTTGTCATTTGTAATCATCAAAATTAAACAAAATAAACATCTGAAATATATGAGTTTGTATGTAATGTATGAATATAATATACAAGTTTCACTTTTTAAATGGAATTACTGAAATCAATCTACTTTTTCATGATATTCTAATTTTATGACCAGCACCTGTATTTTATTTTATTTTTTAGACTTTAGAAACTCAGAAGCTGATCAAATATCGGGTTAAATATCGGTGGGGTGGCCGATTTCCGATATTCACTTTTAAGGCTGATACCGATAGGGGGCCGATTATATCGTGCATCCCTAATAATTATATATATTTTTTTTATAAAATGAAGACGTATTTTATTAAATTAATGACACATTTATATATTTAATTCCTTATTTATTTAATGAATTACACATTTAATTTTATTTATCGCTGTATTTATTTATTTAATTGTGGCACTTTATATTAGTGACGTGGTTTTAATTAATGAATGACACATTTATTTATTTAATTCCACATTTAATTAATTATTGACACATTTAATTATTTATTTAATGCTGTATTTATTTATTTCATTTTGGCACTTTTTATCCTCCATAGAAGCTTGACATGCCTCAAAAACACTTTCTAGTTTTAGTCGTTGATATGCCATCAGATTGTTAGGTTTTAACCCGGTCGCTATTTTCCATTCATTAGTCAGTAATATTCGCTGTATAAGCAACTGGAGGTGTTAATCTAAGGCCTGGTGGCAGCTTTAATTTTTTTATTTTTTATTTTTTACAATTTTCCTGGGTCATGCTTGATTTGATTTAAAAAATGTCCAGATGGGTTTTGTTGGCCCCAGGGCCTCTCAAGCTCCCTGACTGCCATGGACAAGATTAGTCAGGGAATGTGTCTTTTTAGCCAAGCCAAGCACACAAATCCGAGATGTAGAAAACTAGTAGACGATCTGGTGAAGAAAGAGTCTGGAGAGAGAGCAAACAGAATACGCAGAAGAAATTAACTTTGATTTCGGATTGCTGAGTTTTAAAACAGAGAGTAAAGTTTTATAGCTTTTAATTTTCCTGCAATGATCCATCAAAAGTAATCTGTGAGCATCTGTGGCAGTGTGGGTCGTCTCATCAATGTTTAAACAACTGCAGCAGCGTCTGGGATTAACCCCATCCTGTCCTGATGGCCGCTGGTCTGTCTGCATCATGCAGCTCAGGGACAAATATGATCCTAAAGCTTTAAAACCCCAATCGTCTGCGTCCGGCTTCCATTGTCAGACATAAAACTAGCTTTAGTTTAATGCAGTAAAATCTGTTTTCCTTTGATTGGCACAACTAGTCTGGGGGAGAAAATTTAAAATTCCAAAAATATCCACTGGACTTGGTTTTCAAGATTTGAAGACGTTTTGCTATCTCTCCAGGAAGCTTTCTCAATTCAAATGTAAGAAAAATAGACTTTAAATTACCTCAACAGGTGTTTATCCCTTTAGTCATGGAAAAAAAAAACAATTTAAGATGAGATCTCCATACAGTTCAAAAAAACACCAAAAATTAAGTAATTAAATAGTTTTTTTTTGTATTTAATAAGGGATTTGATTACTTTTAAAAAACATGAAATTGTCCAGAAAGCTGTTCCAAACGAAATTTCTTCTAAATTTAAGTCTAAGGATACACGACCGTTGAGGTAGTTTAAAGTCTATTTTTCATACAAAACTAAAGGAAGAAAACTAAAGGGATAAACTAAAGGGATAAATAGGTATAAGGTGTGCTGGTCCAACCGGGTACGCTCATCTGACAGAACGGCAATTTACTGGAATTAATGGTACACGAATATTTAATATATTCAACCCAACAGTAATAAAAATGCCCTATAAAAGTTAAGAAATGTGGACATATATGTCTCTAAACACCATGGACCAATAAAAACCCAAGACTTAGTGAGTTCTTGTTTTATGGGACTCAGAAGCTTCTTTTCCTTTTCAGAGCTCGATTTATAGTCCAGATTTTCAAGTAATATGACCCAACAATGATTAGATCTATATTTACCTTGAAAAAGCTACTAGTATATAATCAAAGCATTAGACGAGGAAGTAGAAAACACAGATATTTCCAGAATTTTCATGTTCTTTGTTATTGAAAATAATTTCTTTCTGAGAGTTTTTCACAATCTGTTGTTTGGTTAATATTTATAGGCTAAATCTCAGCGTTTGTCTAGATTTTAGTATCTGCAAACCCTCACCAGTAGGAGTTATTGCTTATCCAAGCAGAGCTGTCCATGTAGTTACAAGTTTTCCTTGGTGCGAGGTGCCAAAAATCTAAGTACACTGATGCTGGACAAGCTAAAATGATGCGGTTGGCCATTCAGACGCAGGTCGCATTTGAAAAGATCCGATTCTTATCGGATTCAGGACCACTAGCCAAGCGGCCTGGGTCGCATTGGAAAAAGACTGGATCAGAGTTTTTCAGACTGTCATGAAAAGATCAGATACAGGTCACATGTGGGCAAGAAAATTGGATTTGGGTGACTCCAGGCTGCTGTGTGAATGTAGCCTAACATACTTACTCGATGTGAAACGCAGATTATTGAGCATAACACTGGGAGAACCAAATTAGCACCAGGAAGCCCTTCAAGAAACTTAAAATCATGTTATTTCATCTTTATTGTAATTCAATATGTCAATGTGAAACATTTATTATTGTAAATGTTTAAAAGAGATTGTTTTTCAAGCTGTGATCTTGGTTGCTTTTCTCTACCTCCAACCACTCGTACAGATAAGCATTAGGGCTGGAACGGTTCACAAAATCCAGGGTTCGGTTCAAGGTTACGTGGTCACGGTTTTCGGTTCGGTATATGTTGATTGTTAGCCTGACATGTTGGTCGTGTTGCTGTTAGCATAAACAAAACGTGTTGCACAATGCTTGCACACTGTTGCACTTTTATCCCCAACTTTCTTTCCGCCGTCATCGTAGGTCGCTCTAAATGCAAAGTGGTCCCATACAGCAGACCTATAAAGTGCTGCTGGCGCGTCTTCCAACTCCTGTTCTTTCCCACTCGCCATACCCACACAATTCTCCACAACAACTGATTTTTTTCTGCTACACCCGGCTAAGCTGCTTCGCTTCTTCTTCTTCTTGTTTACTACTGGTGGTTGGCTTTGGTCGCAGTACCGCCACCTTCTGCTCTGGAGTGTAAACGCTTCGCCTATGAGAAAAAGGAGCAGCGCATGAACCGAACCGAACCGAGACAGTCGAACCGAACGGTTCTGACGGTTTTCATAAACCCTTCCATCCCTAATAAGCATAGATCTGGAACAAATGTGCCATTTTAGACCATTTGGACCAAATCGTTGTTCTTTAGTAGGCAAGAAAATTAGGTTCCCTGGAATGACTTTGAAATTGACTGTGAGAGAACTGCTTAGGAACTTCTTCTCTCAGGTTTACAATCATGCATCTGGAGATGAAGTTGTTACCATCTATTGAAAAAAGAAAGCATTTATATTCATCAATCCATGCTCTCTCTTTGAAACATCTTGGCATCCGTTGATCCTTAGAGGAGTTTGATCAATTCACACTTTCTGTAACATTAAAGCTATGCTGTGATTGATTAACAGTCTATAATTTTTTTTTTTTTCTAGACATACTCTGGCCTCTTCTGTGTGGTCATTAATCCCTACAAAAACCTGCCCATCTACTCTGAGAACATCATAGAGATGTATCGAGGCAAAAAGAGGCATGAAATGCCGCCTCATATTTACGCCATCTCGGAGTCTGCATACAGATGCATGTTACAAGGTAAGTCCTGAGTTTCTATCTCCCTCCTCCAGGCTTACAGGGATCCATGCATGTTAAATGTCACTGAATGTCAAGGTTGTTTTCAAAGGTTTCCTTCCTGTAAAGATTATTTTCCATCAACATATTTTCAGTAAAATGATTGATTTGGTTTGAAGTTTTTCTTTCTTGCCCAAATATAGTAACCCCTCCCTCCTGCCATCTTCCGGCAGGAGGGAGGGGTTATTATACTTGGTTAAGCCTAGCACCATTCTCCCCGTTTTACAAGCAAAATCAATGAGAACTACTAGACCAGGGGTCAGCAACCCAAACTGTTCAAAGAGCCATATTGGACAAAAAAACCCCAAAAAATAAATCTGTCTATAGCCGCAAAAATGTAAAAGTCTTCTATAAGCCTCGTATGGAAACACAGGCTCTAAGTGTTTTATCCCACTATAGAAAAGGACTTTGTGGGCTTAAATATATAATAAGCATTCATGATTAAATCTTTATCCTCGAGCAAATGTCACATAGCAGAATGAGGTGAGGAAAGAGCAGTGAACGCTCCCATCGCTCGCTGCTTCACCGCCCTTCACCGCACGGTTTAAGTTTTGTTGCATTGATGAAATTATAGAAACACGATCACGGAATCTCTCAATGTTGGACGTGTTTCTGTTGGGAGGAGTTGATTGAGTCATGAGGAACCAAGCAGGAAGTGACATCATCAGAGCAGAGCTCTCTAACTCTGAAATCCACCATCCCAGCGTTCCTTGGTGTGATTAATATTTTTAGGATTTGGGAAAAAAAAGTTAGAAAGTTCCCAACCCTGCATCAGCGCTCTACCTGTTCGATCTGTGGACGGTTTTCCATCCTTGCAACAAAACTAGCAGCAGTAGTGGAGTTTGGAGATGCAATCCACTTCTTAAATCTACATTTGCTCTCTAATTTATCCAGAATTATTCTGCAATCACCATTTTTCTCTCCCTCCCAGCTTGATGGTTGGCTGCATATTTAGCCTTCCCTGGAAATGCCTTTCCAAATTTTTATTTGTATTTTTTGCCAACCTTTCATTACCAAGCAAAAATGCAGGCAATCGTTCTGCATTGATAATGAAAGAAAATGATTCGGTCCATCCTTTGAATCCTCTTTTCTCATCAGCTATCTTCCTTTTTTCCCCTTTGGGATCCGCGGAGACACTCCAGCAGCCTGGCACTGCGCAGCACTGGCTGCAAGTTATGACCACTGATCTCTATAGCTACGGTGCAAATTATTCTTTAAGTTTATGTATTATACAAATTAGGGATGCACAATATAATCGGCCCCCTATCGGTATCGGCCTTAAAACTGAATATCGGACATCGGCAACCCCACCGATATTTAACCCGATATTTGATCAGCTTCTGAGTTTCTAAAGTCTAAAAAAAATAATAAAATACTACTTCTTCTTCCTCCTCAAAAACGTCTTTTTTACAGACTTAAAAACTTCTAAAGACGAGGGAAAAAATATTGATACATTAAAATATCCCAATATCTTCATATGCTGATATATTGCCATTTAAAAACACCATATCAATCTCTTTACTAATGAAATATTGCTATATGTCATCGTTATGCTACGAAATCCCCCGAAAATTCACCAAATGTTGCCATATTTTTATATGTTGATATATTGACGCGGTATCGATCTATTTTACTAACAAAATCTCACAAGAATTTGCAAAATATCACGAGAGTTTGTAACAGAACGATGAAATTTCACCAGATTTTGAAAGTAAAATAGATCGATACCGCGTTTTTAAAAATCAATTTGATATCAGCATATGAAAATATATTTGAGTTTATTATTTTTCAAAGTGTCAGAAATGGAAAACAAAACTGCTATTTTCAATGACTACTTATTTTTGTCCAGCTTTAACATCGGTATCGACATCGGTTATCGGCTACATGAGTTTTAAAATATCGGCATATCGGATATCGGCCAAAATCCCAATATCGTGCATCCCTAATACAAATGTTTACACCATCGGAAAACATAATTATTTTTTGTTTGACTTCCTGCACACCATATTAAAACAAAAGAAAAAAAAAATGTGATTTTTAAGAAATTTCCAGGGAGCCGCAAGGGAAACGCTAAAGAGCCGCGGGTTGCCGACCCCTATACTAGACACATCTGCAATCAACAACAATTATTGAAGATTTCCAGAGGACTTCACCATTGAAATTCACCAGAGCTATAGTGAAACTGACAATGCCCACGTGCATGGCAGCTGGATGCTGGAATACATCGGGTAAAAGTGAAAAATAAATCTATTCCACCTGTGTGTGTGAATGTGAAGAGCTTTTCTAATTTACGTCATCTACAAATATTAAAGAGTACTTTTCAACATTCTCTTTGAACCTTAAATATGATCATGTTAAAATGATAAAGTTTTCAATTGAAAGGTGAAAGAAAGTCCAAAGTGAGTTGAATCCAGGCTGAAGGATGTTTTCTAAGATCTTTAGTTGGCAGCTGGCTGCGTTCCAGGCTCCATAAGCAGCAACTGACTAGGATCAGACCAGCAGGAACAGAGAGGGTGACCCCATTGTGCTTGACAATAGATCCTTTGTATGATTGTGAGGGCTTACCAGTGGGGGTGGAGACAAGCTGGACAGTCCTGTCAGTCCTTTAAGACGTTGCTTTCTTCATATTAGTTTGCAGAGAAAGATTTTGGAAGTCCCACTTTTGTAGTCCGATTGCATGTTTGTTAGCTGTAGCTAGCTGAGAATATTATCTGCAATTCAGATTTTCCCATCAACAAAATTTACTTTATTTGCTTAGTAAAACTTAAATTTGTAGAAGTACATTTTTCATTTTCAGATTTCCTTCTACAGAGGCGTAGCTACCTGCATTGAGAAATATTTATCACTACTTCCAAATACCAGTAGTCTTATATTATACGTGTGAGGAGCAGAGGTGACGTCACACTGTGTGCAGTGTTGTTTTTCACAGCCATCTTACATTTAGTCTTAGTTTTAATTTCAGGACGAACACTATTATTAGTCTTAGTTGCATTTTAGTCATTACGATATGTGATAGTTTTAGTCGGTTTTAGTCAACTAAAAATAAAAAGGTTTTAGTCAATTATGTTGCAAAAAGAAGTTAACCTTTACAAATAGCAGATCTAGTTCAACACATCATATTGGTTAAAATAGCAGACAGACAAGCTGACCAAATGTACAATAAAGGAATGGTTTTAAACATTCAAGGTTTCCATCCCAAAGCTAGCGAAGAGGATTAGGGCCACTGGAATAAAAAAAAAAAGTTAACTGATTTTTAAATTTTATTACAGTTTAGTATGGGAATAAAGTCAGAATTCTGACTTAAATCTCAGAATTCTGACATTTTTCTCAGAATTCTGACTTTAAAGAATTCTAAGAAAAAAGTCAGAATTCTGACTTAAATCTCAGAATTCTGACTTTTTTCTTAGAATTCTTTAAAGTCAGAATTCTGACATTTTTCTCAGAATTCTGACTTTAAAGAATTCTAAGAAAAAAGTCAGAATTCTGACTTTAATCTCAGAATTCTGACTTTAATCTCAGAATTCTGACTTTTTTCTCAGAATTTCAACTTTATTCTCAGAATTCTGAGATTAAAGTCAGAATTCTGACTTTTTTCTCAAAATTCTGACTGAATTCTAACAATAAAAAAGTCAGAATTCTGAGATTAAAGTTGAAATTCTGAGAAAAAAGTCAGAATTTTGACTTTTTTCCCCCATACTAAACTGAAATAAAATTTTGAAATCAGTAAACTTTTTTTTTTTTTCCCCAGTGGCTGTAATCCTCTTCTGCACGAAGCAAACACTTCCTGATCTACTATGAATTAATTGCTCCAAAAAAAGCAAAGAAAAAAAAAACATTTTCTTTTTACTTTTGCAATTTTGGCTTTATTCCCCTTAGTTACCAAGATGCTATGACCATGGGTCGAACTAGATTTAAATTCACAGGGTTTTGATACTAAAAAATACAGAGATAACCTACATGATTGCCTTGTAATGCCGTGGCAATCCAGACTTAAATTGAATGAATAATTTAACTAAAATGTTGAAATATTTAAAGGAAACAGATAAAACGTTTTAATGACAATACAAGGAAGTTATACATCATATTTAGATAAATAGAAACAAGAACAAATAGAGAGAAATATTAAAAGATGTATATACCTTTTCACCTGGATCTTTATCCAAATATAAACAGAATGCTATGAAATATTATTTTTTGGATATAATTTTAGGATTCCTTTTGGTAGAAATTAAAGAATGTTTAGTATCACCTCTTAAATCTCCATAGTTAGACAAAGGGATTTTCTACGCTTGGCAGAGGATTTAGTTTTAGTTTTTCCTTTAATGTTTTAAATTCTCTCTGATTGTGAGAGTAGCTAACCATGAGCCTTCCTCTGCATTTACAACATTCACAATAAACAGTTTTGCCATTTAGATCTGGGGTTTTTTAGAGTAAACATTGGATTTTGTTAAACTCTTCCTCCTTGATGGAAGACTGTCAAGCAGAAAATCCTCTGAATCTGGTCAGCAGACAGAGTTAGGGTTAGTGTTTGAGTGAAGTTTTTGAGAGGACACACCTTAATCTACAGGCTGTTTATTTCCGGCTCACACTACATACTTTTTGCTGTTTATTTCTGAGCAGTGAGCATTAACTAACTGCATTAAGTGAACGTTTCATAGCAGAGACTTGCGCTGTCTTCCTCGCCTTCATTCTCTTTCTGGTTTTAGCAGATTAACAGATGTGGTTTAAAAGGAGGTTATTAGGTTGGAGATTAATGGAGGCCAGCTGCTCTCAGCTGAATGAGCATTTCAGCAGCCTGGTTAATAAAAGACAATATCCAGCTGTGTACATAAGCTTTCATGTAAGCATTTCAGAATATATCAATCCATTACATAGTTGCTGTTTTGTTTTGTTTTTTATACAGGACAGATTATGAACAAAAACCACTGCAGATTAACTGAATAATTCATTAAAATGCATATTTT